TGATGGAGCAGGTGCTCTGCGTTACTTCCAAGGAGATGGTAAAGTGAACAAGGAGCTGGTTGAGAGTTCCTGCCAGGTTCTTATCTGGGAACAAGATGGCATTTACTCACCAACTGGGACACCCAAACCACAAAGCATCAGCAGCCCCAGCAACTTTACACCCAGACCCACTAGAAGTCGTTTTCACACTGTTGGAGGCAGTGTAGTCAATAACATAAATCTAGAAATCAAGATTAGCAGTTTAGAAGAAGACCAGGTTTGACCATTTCCTCTCAAGTTCCTCTCATATTTTCCAAATCTTATGTTTTTAGTAATAATTATGTATTTAAACATTTCCACAGGCAAATGTTTTGGTGGCGCCTATGTTCAACAAGCAGCTGGCTTCTACAAACGTTGGCAAGGGTTTGCTCAAGAAAGGTGGTAACACAGTTCAATCAAATTTTATTGCCAAAAGGACAGGTTGTACCCTCCTGCCTGGTGATGTTCTCCAGGTTGACGCAAGTGCATCTTTGAGCTGTTCCAAGYTCTACTTTGTAGAGTGCACGCCTTGGGATGGATTCACAGGAAGCAGTGTACAGGTGAGGTAAAAACCAGCCGTTGGAACTGGGGAAAAACGATGTGCTTATGGAAAAGAAAATTTTAYTAACAAAGTAGATAAAAATAATGTATTTCATTGGAAAGCAGAATTAGTTACATTCAAATACTGATTGAGAGAGCCATATTTATGTATGTCTTGTATGTGTATGTATGTGTATTTCCATTTATTTTAATATTTAGAATGCAAAAGTTCCTTTTTAAACCCTAAGGAATTATGCACTTTTGTCTTTTAGGCTCTTAGCAATGGACTACAGAAGTGTTTGGACCTTTGTGGACAGCAGGGCTTCAGTTCAATAGCCATACCTGTTATTGGACCCGGAATTGTTTTCCAATACCCGCTAACCAAAGCTATTCAAGTACTGACAGAAAACATTCAACAGTTTGGATTATCTGCTGGTTCCACGTCTATCTCCACCATTCACATCATCATTAAACCTGGCTATCCCGACTCTGAGCAGGTAACTATAAAAACAATTTTTTTAAATCATCACTAGAGATTACTGAAATGTTATTTATTGCTTAATAATTTATTTTTTATTGACAGTGCTACTATGAAGTGCACAAATACCTCAGCTCAATTATGAACCAGGGAGGTCGAGGTAGACCATAAATCATGCTCATAAATTGCATAATCTGTTTAGCATTAAACTATTATTTATTGTCTCACTTGACAAACTGAATGTCATGACGTCTTCTCAGCACTCTTCAGGTCCCTCACTAGTGACCTTGATGATGTCAACATGACTGTAGGACGTGGGGCTAAACTACAGCTTGTATTTGGTGACATCACCAACGAGACCACAGATGCTGTGGTGAACACGACTGACTTCGTTAATTTCCACAATGGTAGGTGTTATTAGAATCAACATGCAGACTTAATAAAGGAAAGAGAAGGAAGGAAGTGCGAAAAGAGAGTAGCAAGGCTGGGTATTTTCAACCTCAGGATTCGATTTCAAGTCAACTTGATGTTGTTTTAAATACTAAGTACACAAAGAATTCATCATTTACGTCTGTGTACAGCTTTAGAACGGCGACTTCTGTCATGTGTTTGTGTGTTGGTATGGTGCATTGTGGTCCGAGCATGTGCACCATCTTCCTAAAATCCTTGTTTTCTACAATACTATATGGTTGCAGGTCCTTTCATATGAAGACCGCAACAAACCCCATTTTATTGCGTGAACAGAGGCTGGTGGCAGTTTGCAAGGAAAGGATCTGTTGACTTGCATCTGTTTTGCATCCCCAAGTTTAGCATGATGTCAGCTCAAACATTTTGTTGCGTTACTACATTACTTTAGTATGGCCTGGCAGGAGTTACACAGTACTTTACTATTTCCTGTGTTTCTGATTTACACGGAAACCCAAAATATCTTCAATTACCTGCTTTGAAAGTTGAAGATACTGGCTTCACGTTGCTGCTATTCGCTATGCTCGCCATGTTGTTTTTCAAGGGCTGCTGTCTTCTTCTGCTGCTGCTTCTTTGGTTTATTGACAGCTGGGAAACAGCTATTTTATGCATTAGGCTACCACTACCAGATAATGTAGGTCAGAATGGCAATTTTTATTGCTCTCCACGGCCCACTCACTGG